AGATTGTCGACCTAAACGATCACAGTTCTGAGGAATTTCTTAGTGACCCTCCCCCTCTGGAACGTTCCAGTATTCTAGAACAATCTGATATTCTTTCCTTCAAAGCCATCCTACTCTTATAATCGGCCTAAGTATGTCTGTAAGTGTGCGTGTGTGGTATGTTTGGTGTGCGTCTGTCTGTGTGTCACGAAATTCATAGCGAGCGTCGCAGAAAAGATAGGAAGACAGTTCCAAGGAGTGACATACATGGTAGGACGGGAACACTTTTGGTGGGTGATAGAATGTGATAGCACCTGATAAGATTCGATAAGGGGCCTTAGAAAGGGAGGGTGAGCGAGCCCATAGTGTGGGACACAGTAACAGTGGGCATTGGTTCCAAGGTATGATATAGGACGTGGACAGGAACATTATTGATGGGTGACAGGGAATGATAGCACTGATAAGAATCCGTTCAAGAGGCTTCAAGGAAGGGGAGCGGAGACCAGTTCCATAGCTACGGCGAGCCCAAACAGTAGGGGACATTGGTTCCAAGGTATGATATAGGACGTGGGACAGGAACATTATTGATGGGTGACAGGGAATGATAGCAGCTGATAAGATCCGTCAAGAGGCGTCAGAAGGGGAGGGAGACCAATTCCATAGTACGGGACCCAGTAGCAGTGGGACATTGGTTTCAAGGTATGATATAGGGCGTGAGACAGGAACATTATTGATGGGTGACAGGGAATGATAGCAGCTGATAGGATTTGATAAGGAGAGTTAGAATGGTAAGGTCGCCATACCCATAACGTGGAACACAGCATCAACTGGGCATTAATTTCAGAAAATGATATAGAGTTGGAGATGGGGACACGGCACGTGAGGTGATAACAGCTGATAGGGGCTGATAAAGAAGTTGTCCTATAATCATGCAACGTATTATCCCACGCGCGCGTACAAAATGCAATAGTGCATATAAGAACAAAAAAGTACATACGCCATTTATAAAAACTAAAGAAAACTTAATACGGAATTGAATTATCCACTTTTCCTACGACCGCCCCCCCCCTCCCCAGAGCAAAAGTACGACTCGACCCCCATGTGTTTCACAAGATGCCGTACCCTAGATCTGTTGTTGTATGCCGTGTAATCCGCGGACTGCAAGTATAGCTTTACTATGGAACGCCAGGATCCGCAGGTGCTCAGTATTATGTTTGCTACAATACAACGGAGCTGTATGAGCAAACGCACGATTGAAGAGTTCGTTCCCCATTATGGAGCGCGCCTGGCGAAGCCAGGCCAGCTCGGCGAAGCCGAGCTAGAGAGAGAGGAGGAGAGCTCGGCGTCAGCCGGGCGATCCGACTGGTCTGGTATACTCTAGTGAAAAATCTGTTGTATCACCAAATCGGGAGTGAATATTTTTCTGATCTTGACATAGGCCAACAGAGTATTTGTGCATGCCAAAAGTAATTCATTCAGCCTATACATGACTTTTGGAGATCGATTAATGTCCAGTTCCCTTATGGGACAGTATTGTAGTTTGGTCTAAAAAAATCTCTGATTTGGCATTTGGGCATTGGGTGCATGGACCATACCTGCGTGGGCACCGACTCCTGCCGTTGCTCTTATTCTTCCATATTGAATTCCCAGTAAAGATTTCTTTGAAACTTTCATAACATATTTGTTTGCCTGAGACGTGAAAGCGAAATGATACGTTGAAGGTGATAATCCATGGCAAGCGTGCCGGTCTCTTGCAGCGCTCCTTTTTTCAAGGGGGTCTTATAAAAACAGTAAGTTGTGTGGGCAGGCCCACTTTCCCTTCAATCTGGCAGTACGGTTTCTTATAGCCATAGTAGTAATTGAGGTCTGTAGCTGTTTCAGCTGGCTGGTGGCGGAGTGAATCTACAGGCTTTGAGCGCTTTGGCTGCATTGTTCAATCCTGGTGTGCAGGCGCAACAACATAACCTGCTCGGTGTTCTTGGAGGAGGTTCGTGGGCATATTTTTCGAAGATTTCTTCTGTATTATAGTATCTAACTGATAGTTTTAGTGCTTTCGGCGTTGGGTAAGCTCACGGAAGGGGGTTCCGGGGCAGTGAACACTGGCGTTGCTACTAGCGGCAGTATGTCTGCTCTAGTGCAGAACGGGCAGAGCGCTGCGAGCAAGGCTCAGCTAGGTAAATGACTCGTAGTGAATGCTGCTGTGACTCTGCTCAGTTCCATCGTCGTGTTAATTGGCCCTCCAGAACCGGCATTTTTGCACTAAACTGTTCTGTAGCTCATTGGGATGGTTTGAATAAAAAACGATATCTTCTAAAAGGGTTCTGGAGGGTTTCTACCGTGGCGTAAATGTGGTGCGCTTGGTGTACGGATCAAGTCGTCAGAGGTGTCTTGTGCACCCTTCTTGATCTTGTCGTTGCTGACTTTCCTTACTCCCTACTTGCATGTGTAGAATGGTTAAGTTTCCATTCTTACATCTTATTTTCGTTTGTTGTTCAATGCTATGGGTCTGTTGTGGCGAGTATGATGGTGCAAAAGTATTCAACAATTAGCCTTAGTATCCCTAACAACGTTATCACTCCAGTATTTTCGTTTGCTTTAACACTTCCGACCTGCTTAGCGAACGAAGTGCTGGTGCAAATTTCAAAAGATTTGCACCAACGGGGCATGAAATGTTGATGTCAGACCATATACGCGCCAACGTACCACATACTATTGTTTTCAGCCGCTCTACTTCATCAAAACCCAATCCAAACTCAAAACCTTGAGACCATTGCCCAACTTCAACAGGCTCAACTCCAGCATGCTCAATTAGCTCAGGCTCAGGCTCAAGCTCAAGCACAGCATCAACAGCTTTTTGCAATGCAAGTTCAGGCTCAACAAGCTCAGCCCGCAGGTGAGCATTTTCCGTGTTGTATCAAATTTAGGTTAAGTAAGTGAAGAAGTAATTACGCAGAGTGTCAGGCGTTGCCAGAATCGAAGATATTGAAGTAAAAAGATGGGTAAAAGAAAGCTCGGCGCAGTTCGGCCTTGGGGGTGGGCATTTGGCACTCTCGCTGCTTCACTAGTTCCGGTTTACAAGTCTCACTCGAGTGAAACTTGTGAAGCTGGAGCAAGCTCGTCAAGCCAACGGTAAATTCTGTCAACTATTGTAAGCTCGCGGATTTCTAGATGGGTCAGTACGTCGATGGGAAGCAGTAAAAGTGCAAATCCCCCCCCCCCTCGTCCGCCGAATTGGCTCTGTAGACAAAAAAGTCTATGCGATTCTCCGCTCGAGTACGCGATCAGCGTACAGGGCTGCCGAAAGTGACGGGATCGCGGCGTCTGTAAAAGCGATAGCAACACAAACGACAGAGGGGGAAGTTTGCGAACGTATGTGTGGTGGCGTGGAAGTGTAGGGTGTATGGCTCAGGCAAGAAAGGCGAAAGTGGGCAAGAATGAAGAGGAAGTCAAATCAGGGCACGTCGTAAATTAGGCAAGACCCAACGTAGGGTAGGGTGTATCCCTGCCATTCAACTTTCTATCGGTGTTTACCTATCCTGCCCTCTCAACAGACTTTCGGGGGGGAGGGATGCATCGTATTTTGAAACACATGCCTTGAACGCTGTGGCATGCCCTGCGTCTTATAGGAAGGGTCTATCAGGTCGTGGGCCCTTCGTTGTTGGGATACATACGTGGACCGAAAAGGTGATTTCCTTTCCCTGGCCTTCTGGGAATACCTAAAAAGAAAGGTAGAAGTTTGCGAGCTCATGTTGACCTCGGCGAGAAGAGGTTTGCTAGTTGGTCAAAAGTTCTGAGTGTTTTGGACGTTTTGAAAAAAGCACTCCTTGTACTAAAAGGCTGTCTTAGATGCAGAGTGGGTAGAAAAACAGGAGCATTTTCTCTTGTAATTTCGTGCGGGTTAATGGCGCCGTTCCCTCTTCAAAGCGAAATGCAAGTTTGCCTTTTTTCATGTCACTATTGGGTTGGATCCAGAAGTAGTGCATTTTCCTCTCTAACTTGAGATTTCGCGTCAAAGCTGGAGCATTTTACCATTGAGTTCTACGTCCTCTCATAGAGAAGTTCGCCCCATAAAATGGCACGCTTATTTTCTTAAAGATTGTTTCCATTATTAAATGCTCAAAGTGAAAAGTTAGGTCTACGGAATGAAGCGCTTTCAACATCCTGTCCTTTTTCTAATCAATTAAAAAAACGGAACGCGCAGAGGCCCATTCGATAAGTATATGACCAAAAAGCAAAGTCTCTCCGGGAAGCCACAAAATGGTTAAGGGGTCAAAGGAACTCCGAATTTCAACCTCACAACAGAATAACAACCGATACCTTAATTGAGTTCGATTGCGAAGGCTTACTGAATCAGCTTGTTCACGGAGAGGTCCATACCAAAGAATGGGGAATTGGTAGATGCACGCATTCCACGTTCTCACTGAATATCACATCCACTTAATGGGAGAGGTTTGAAAGTTGGTGGATAGGCTGTGCACAGCATCGCCCCCCCCCCAAGAAAGAGCCACATGTGATGCACATCGATGAGGTCCAAACTCCCATCTTTGAATCGCTTGAACCAACTCCAATGATTTGTAAGAATCATCATTCTTTGGTCCTATACATCTAAAGTTCAGGGCTGCTCCTCAATTCGAGGGCTAAGATTAAGTACAAAAGGGTTAGTATCACAAACTCTCACTTGTGTTTCCCCGACCCTCCATTTCATGAAGATAAATTGATAAAATCAAGAAATAATATATGGTGTACTCGTGGAGAAGAACTCGTATCCCCACTATCTCGTAGAGAAGAAAAACATCTATCAAGCAACTTGTTTTGAAAGCCTCTAATCTTTCACACCAAATTTCACGGTTAAAAAAAACATGATTACTTAAGGCCTAGTCCAAAAATTCAAGCTCTGACATAGCGTTTTTGTTAAAGCAAGCTAGGGGACATAAATTGTAAATGCTTTGCTGCAACTGTTGGCGTCGTTCACGTTTTTGGTGTCGTTCACATTTATTGATGTCAGGACCGAGGAGGTTGTGATGAGGCCGTTCCGCTCTGAAAGCTGTTACTGCTTCGTCCACCAGATCCAGTGCAAGAGCAACGACAGTTCCTTTTTAGGCGATTTGGCTGCGTTTGGTTACGCAACGGGAGCCGTGACGGCACCAACCATGTCCCAGCCGTTTGCAGCTCAACTTTCATCGGTCTACCAAAATGCACCAACGAATGGTGTTCAAGTTGTTGCTGCAAAAGCTGCTTCTCCAGTCGGTACTGCGCTATCATCAGGTACTGCTGGATTCGGTGGAGGAGGAGCTATGGATCCGTATCAGCAAGCTATGCAGCACTATACTCGTACGTTTTCTTCTTTATTTTGTGTTGCTTTGGCTGAAGCCGACAAACAAACATTTGCAAACATTTAGTCACTGCAGAAATTCTTGCATTCAGTGTTGGGGAGGGGGGAGACCTGGGGCGGGATCATTCATCTTTCTTGTAAAAAAAGGAGAAATTATAAAGAGTTTGAGTGGTGTGTGCAGTTTGCTCTCGCCGCGTGCGAAAAAGGTACATGCTAATTAAATTGGACTTAGCAGAATGAAGCAAGGTCCCAAGTTACGACCACCAAAAAGTTCGAGAAACAAAAAAAAGCCGGAGCTTTCACCGATTCTCATTCCCTTATTGGGATGCGGTACGCATTGTGCTCCCTTCAGGATCGTAGTGCCTACTGAGTGCAATGTGGCCTATACAATAACTTGCGGGGACCAACTGAGGTACAGGCCACCGTTTTTATACTCCCAGTCTGGTACCAATGGTACCTGATTCAGATAATTTCGTACCAATTTGCCATCCCCGGAGGGTAGCAGGCTTGGTTGGCCTGGGCGGGAGCCGATCTGAGATTCGATCCTCGGACCGTGGACGTGGTAAGTGGGCCACTTGCCTGTACACCATCTCCGCTCGGGAATGTTTAAATAGCTGCTCGAATTCTGAAAATAGTCTCTGCCTTGCGCCAAACGCCCTGTCTCAGCTCCGACTTGGGTGGGGGACCTATGGGAATGTTTCAACAATTGCCGTAGGAGATTGTCATGCGGAGGGCCAAATCTAGGGAAGAAAGGCGACAGTGAGAACGAGTGGGGTAAGAATCCAATCGGGGCACCTCATATGCTGGGGAAAACCTAACGCAGAGGGAGGCGTGTATCCTTGCAATTAAGGCTTTTTTGGTCAAAATGTACGAAAACACCGCCCTCTCTTTACACTGCATCCCGAGTTGGGACTTCGGGCTCGCGGGGAGAGGTCATTGTTTGAAAAATGCTCCCCAACGGAGCGACTTCATGGGCTACATACCATATTTCGTTGGAGAAATTGATTATCTTCACCTGTTCACTATTGAGGGTTCAGGACATAATATATCATTTTATATTATTTTTAAAAATGTACAGTGTAGTGTATGAAATTATGCAAGATGAATTTTTGCAGTAAATGCCTTGGCATCCCATATGAATGCAAGCGCACAAGTCTCCGTGTCAGGAGCAGGTAGTGGTGATGTGAAGGGACCCGAAGGATCCAACCTCTTCATATATCATTTACCTCAGGTGCGAAAAATTCATGGATACGTTTTTTGATTGCTCATGAAATTTAGTTGAATGTTATTATTTTCAGGATTTCGGAGACTCTGATTTACAAACAACCTTTTCACCTTTTGGCACAGTGTTGTCAGCGAAGGTTTTCATCGATAAAGTCACGAACCTCTCCAAATGTTTTGGTATATCCTTTTCTTGTACTTCACAATGTTTGGTATATCCTTTTGCATTTTACGGCATCTTTTTCAATTTTTTCTGATTGTTGTGTTCAGGTTTTGTCTCGTATGATAATGCAGTATCTGCACAAAATGCCATTGCTGCGATGAACGGGTTCCAAATTGGATCGAAGCGATTGAAAGTGCAACTGAAGAATGAAAGAAGTCATCCCTATCCGAAAGCAGCTGTATAAAGCCATGACGAGATGCTTCAGGTATGTCAGATGGGCCTATATTTTTTTATTTATATAAATACTAACAATCGCAGTTTTTTTGAAATGTCGATCAATTAGGTATCAGAGCACACAACACAGTAAATAAGTTTTCATTGATTTCTTCAAAAAATGTGGTGGTGCTAAATTAGCGCTTATCGGCGCCAAATGGCGCCAGCGTCATAGAGAAGCCGTGATATTTGTGATCAGGATATCAGATAAGCCCTACGTATAAGCACACATAGATTTTGGAGAGATAGGTGGCGGCGCCGAATTGCGCAGCGCCAAAGATGAATATCATATTCGTGATCAAGACCCTGAAGGAACCTCTGTGGACGAACTTATCTTATCCAAGAATGCTAATGCCTTTCTAGCCCTCTTCTTGACCAGTATTTCCCAAGGGAATCACGGGAAAACGTTCGTCTTTTTTATGCTTTACACGAGAAACGACTAGACTAAAGACTTTTATGAGGCACTTGTCATATCTTCATTTTCTTTACGTGCGCGCTCAGTACCTTCTTAGTTCTTTTAAAATAAAGCGCAGTACATGTTACACATAACTGGCAGACGTCACCTGTTCGCGAGCGTTCTCCTAGCTTTTCATGAAGACCACTCTTGCAGCTGTCATGACATGAAGTCTGTCATAGTACTTTGTGACAGGTTGTCCTTCCCAGTTACCTTTTGATGGGGTATGTGACAAGAAAATCGTAATTGCCGTCCAGGTGGGCGTCGCGTGCGACGTCGCGCCCTCAAATGGCGATGTTTCTGGCATGTAGATGGCAACATTATACAATGTATAGCCGTAAGTGGCCGTAGCCGTAGTAGAAGTAGCCGTAAGTGTTAACAATTTGCGGTCTGCGTGGGTGTTTCGGGGCACTCATATGAGCAGGCTTTTACGCGCGCGGGGTGCGGCAATGTGGAGTGTCTTTGCGCTGTCTCCCCTCTTTGGGTGCCCGTGATACAATCCCCTCCGTGTGTTACGGTGTGAGAGGAGACCTCATTAGAAAGGTAACATTTGGTGGAAGATTTTTTGATAAATCTCTAGAATAACGGCGGGAATCGAATCGAGCCAGCCGGACCGAATCAGCTTTGTATTTACAGGCATTGCCGTTGTACTGGATTCGGCCAGATTGCGGCTGGCGCAATGATAGCTTTCTTCACATGACCAGCGAGGCTGCAGTGATAGGCTGTTCTTATAGAGGGATACTGTTTATTATGCCTCCCATATATTTAGGCATGACAAAACAATGGCTCCAATTCCGAATTTCGGCCACAAAAAATTTTCCATTACCGTTTTGATTGGAATTTTTCCCAGATTGCCAAGTTTTAGCCGGGCATGATTGTGTTTTCCTGGGTAGTTTGACCATTGAACAGGAACATCACACCTGCTTGTCTTGAAAACACCTGATACGTTCGCTACGTGTGCTGGCGCCAAAAATAGACTGGAGCCTGTGGTGCAGATGCCAGGCATTTTTCGCTTTAAGCGAAATGTGATATTCGTTGTCTGGGGCAGACACCCTGCGCTAACGTTTTGGCCGATTTACCCTCAGGAGTGTTTTGAACACTGTGTTGGATTTAGAAGATGCGGGCATGAAGGGGCCAATAAAATGGAATTTTTTTTTTTGAGAGCCAGTTGAAAAAATTCGTCTTATGTTGCTTCACGTGGTTAGTAGGTTGGATGAACCTTCCGGTGAATACGCACTCAACGCTGCGCGCCCCAGCGAGTAACCGTGAAATGGTGATCTCTTTGATGAGCACTTAGCACTCCTTTTTTTCCCCGGGATGGACAGGCGTGTTTGCGAACTTACACTTGAAACAAGCTGTCATTGTAGAGAGAGGGACAAGACAATCGTCAAATTTCGCGTTGTCGCGCGCTGTGTATCATGTGAAATTCTCAGTTTGCATTCTTTTTTGGTTGGAGCAGCGAAACTCACATGAATTTTAAATAAGACAAGGATCCACATGACGGGGAATATTAGAATTTTTCCATTTCTTCTCAAAAACAAACTCAAACGGTCAGACAGGGCAACTCGTCCTTTGAGAGCGACGTCGCTCGCCCCGCCACAGCGCGGCAAATAACGACTGTCTTGTCACAGTCTCGTCAGCGTGTCTACAGCTGAACAAAAACATGATAACAATAACTATTGTCCCAAAACGGAAATATTCCCGAAGAGGCGCAACGGCCACCACGTTTAAATGAAGTAACCAGCCACGCCCACTCCATCCACGTGGTATGGAGTATATGTATGTCGAAGTATTCGATTTTCTGTTAACACTCTTGTTACACTACAGGTCGTGAAATGTTTCAAACTCTTACTGAAAATGTCTGTGTCGATTTAGGTGGGGATGTTTGTGTGGTCCAAGTACATGGATGCTGTCTGTAGTGGTTCGGTTCTCGCATATTCGTTTCACAATTGGTCCTTCGTCCTTCGTACCGTGCGTGCGTGCGTGATCGTCGCGTTACAGCGTTTTGTTCAAAGAAGACGGTGCCGCTACGAACGGTGCTACGAGTTTCAGTTATGTTTTGTTGCTCAGTGGCAGGCATACCATCACCAGTGCTAAATTTCCTCTGAGTTTGTCAAGTTAGCGGCTTTTGTTTGATGTCGTTATGTATTATGTTTTGTCTATGCGAAAAGCCATCGTGATAACTATAGTGAGTCCATGTGCTATTTTCAGTTCCCATCTCTTAGTTTATAATGTGAAAAGAAGCTGCTGGCGGGTTTCCTTAGTGTGCGCATATGGCGTATCCTGCAATATTGCCGGTTAGAATATATTGTTGTTAGATATCTCTTCAGAGCTGTTGGTGATGAACCAATTGCTCATCGTTGCATTTACTTCTTTGCTTTTGCAGTTAGTTATTTGAGAAGTAATGGTGTGTCTCTTCTTTTAGAAGTGTCGTTGGTATGCCCTGTTGATTTCTTTGTGTGTCAAAGGTGTGTCCTGCTTCAGTGTGGTTCAAACTTTTGCTTAGTCTTGCCTTTTCCCCCTTCCATATGACCATCCCAAATCTTGCCTAAAGTATGCGCGGTTACAGCGATCAGTGATCAACCCGATATGAACTCTTGCCAATGGTTCAATTAAATTTTTCAGTGTTTTTTTTCTCCACCCATCTCCTACATCTATTCCGATCCCTAACCTTGCCATGTTGTTCAGTTCCTCAGATTATCGTCCATTATATGTCGTCATTGCCTTTGTTTTTTTTACATTTATTTGATGTCTACGTATATTTTTCATTTGCAAAATTTCCATAAATGTTTCATAGATTCAGTTGGCATGTAGTGTGTTGTCATGTCCTGTTGTCCTGGTGAACGAAAGATTTTATTTGTTACAAAAAAAAGATATGCAAAGTCAGAACCGAGATGAGGAAAAGACATCAGATAAATAAATCGAGTGTTGCGATGTTCAGCTGCAGGAATTGAAGTTCCCTCATAATAGTGGATGCCCACAGGAGGCCGTTGAAGTCCTCAGTCCTCACCTTTGTAAGGACGGGAAAGGAGCCGGGTTTCAGTTGTAGGATGGGAAGCAGATGCTATGTACAGGCCGGGGATTTCTGGAAGCAATTTATAAAGCTTTCAGGTGTCTAGCCCGCTTTTGGGATGCATAGTTCATCCCGCGTTAGCTCACAATCACACTGGTTTTGGAATGTGGTCTTCTATATGATGGTAGATTTGTTCCGGCCGACTCTGTGTCACGCATAGCGTGAGGATAGCGTGAGCACCAAAGCCCTCATTAGGGAAAGGCTTGGGGTTTACAATAGCATTGAAAACCGTGGTTGGAAACGCGTTCTTGGAGATTCATACTTGATCTTGTTTTCTGCGGATGTTGGGGTGTTTCAGGGGGCTGGGTTTGGCGCAAGCCAGCTTATTCTTTAATGACCTATTCATTTTAGGAAAAAGCATTGGGGGTCTCCCAACGGAATGCGCATTGCAACCGTGGTTTGAGCAACGCGTTTCTTTGGAAATTTATACTTTGATCATGTATTCCATAGACGGATGGTGCGGGTATTCAACTGGGCCGTGCGGTTTCGGACGCAAACGCCAGCTGATTCTTCGCAGTGTCAGGAAGCAGGCAGACGACTTTAATTGGTGAGGCTAGCACCGCGCCTAACCTCTATGTAACTTTGCCTTCCAGAAGTAGTTCGTCTGAGGAATGGTTACTCAAAATACTAATTTTGCCATTACGCTAAGAACGTCCATCGGAATTCCTGATTAAAGCAGGTCGGATTAAGGTGGTGCTTACAAAAAAGAGGTCGATTGCCTAGCGCAGTTACGAGTGTCCCATGTACTTGACATGGGTACGAGGAAGTAGCGTGCGCGATGGTGGTGTCGTGGCGTCGCGTACGACTTTCTAGATTCTCCACTTGTTATCAAGCAACCTCTACCAACCCTACCTAACATTTCACCAAAGTTTTCACCTCACCAATTTTCCAAGAATTTGCGAATTTTACGTAATTTCGACGTCGAACGGGAAGGGTTCTCTCTGATCAGTTATGAGAAGTGATGGTTGTACAGTACCCTTGTATAGTCGTTTCGCCGCGCTGCCAACTGACGAGCGCGCGTCAGGAAAAAAGAGGAGTCGAAAATTCCTCTTTGGACTCGGCGAGATTAGTTTGGGAGGGCCCAACAGAGAAACACGTCCCCCCTAATGGATTTTGCACAACGCTGCCCTATTGTATGTTTAGAATACAGTAAATAGAAAATCGGGGAAAAGTGTTACCAAAGTTTACAGCGCAGCAAGCGGCACAACGCGGTCTGAACCATCCTTGAAGAACTAAAAATCGGTTCGACCGATCAACCGAACACTACCCATCCACTCCCTTACTAACACAGACTTCTATGTCCCTGACTTGTCTGGCGAGTAATTGAGAAAGCTGAACGAAAACATCAAGCCTTTTGGACACAATAGACATTCTTCAGGCTCCCCACCTACAAAATTCTTTCTTTCACCGTCAACTTCATACTCACTGGCAATTAAACATTCTGAGTATTTTTGACATTTCCCCCGTCCGTCAAAGTGATGCGCCCTGAGTTGAGTAGCAACGTAACCGTGCTGAATATTTACATGATCGAAAGAAAGCAGAGGAAAGCTTTGACATTCTCTATACTAACAAATTTTGGTCTACTTCGGACCGTTTGCACATGGAATGTGTTTAATTTCAGGTTCCTGAGCCGGCAGTCGTGGCGGACACCACGGATTCATACGTGCTGCTCTTCGAGAAACGGGCTTCCGGTGACGATGGCATCAGTTCCTCCCGAGAATGACGTATGCCGTAGATGAAGTAGATACTCAGTCCTGCAAACAGGATCCATGCCAGATCTTTCAGTTTACATTACGGGTGTGCAGTTCTGGTATAATAAACATCTTATCTAGTCGTACCTAAAGCCATCCAAAATGCGAGTCGTAGCCAAGTTATCGGCGCAAGGTGCAGCATCATGAGGGCGTTGATGAGAAGGCTCAGCGCAGGTACGACCGGTACTAACGGTACCTGCAAACATGTACAAATTTTTAAGGGAAGTGTAGTACACAGCAAGGCGCTATTTTCCTCGAGGGGGTGGGGCATTTCGTAAATTCTTGTCAACATACTGGCCAATGACAGTGGTCACGTTGAACTAGGTAAAAAGTGGTTAAGGCTCGTCCAGTGCCTGTAGAATGTGTCAGGCATCCACATCCCATTATTTATCCCCAGAAGTCTATGAAAGTGAGTTCACTTCTGTTATGATACCTTTAACTCTGGGAGAAGCCTAACTGGAGTGCGATTTGATATGCGCAGGTGTGATGCGGGCATAATCATGGTCATTCCGCTCAACCGAATGTTTGACATTGCTTAGAATATCCCCACCCCTCTCCTCCTCCCTCCTAGGGGAATGCCCCAATAGCAGTAACCTTGAAATCGAGTGGCGTTGAATTCTGATGATGAGCCATAATGAATACCAACGATAGTATTGATACTGCACCGAAAAACGAGGCTGTTACCATTCCTGCCATTTCTCCGAAGTGCCCTAAAAATAGCTGATTTGTTAAAGGCTTAACATAGTAAGATAGTGGTCAGGGATTCTGTCAAGCACTACCACTTACAAAAAAGTATTACCTGAACTCAAGCACAATCCAAATCCAGTGAATCCAGTCATCATCACCACTACACCGTAATGAACCGCATGACCAGGATCGAACCGCTCCAGATATGCGCTGCCGGGGAATGTGAACTTCATTTTTCCGCCTTAAAACTGTCCTATCAGTGTCTTAGAAATACCGAAAAGGGAAAAATCGTTTGACGACTTTGCATTCGCGGAACCCTTTGTATATACAATGAATGAGCCCTTACAAGGGAGGTCTTTCGGGTCGTGTCGCCCGCTGTCGAGACGATTCGTTGCATGAGGTTCATGAGGGGAAGTGTAGTTCATTTCCGCTGCACATTTCTGGGACTGCGTTCAGAAAGCTTCCAAGTTATGTGAACACAAGAAATCAAAAGTTGCAGGAATGCAAAGTCTTGTCACTATGGGATTCGAACCACCAGCCTACGCTTCACCCTTTAATTAACCTACCGATGCGAGATGAGATGCGCGCAGCGGAAATCAACCCATATTTGTGGTCCCGCTCGAACCTCTAGAAAATGCAACAAACCGTTTCGATAATGACCGAATGAAGCAAAAGCAACTGATATCCCCTGTCCAATAAAGTTTTTTTTTGGATTTTCTTCTGAGGGTCCCTGTATGTAACTGCATTTGTATGTCACTTTTCACAGCTCAGCCACCTTTTCAAGTTTAATCGACCGGGCTCAATCCACGGGGATCAGGGCAATGCTGACAAGCGTTAGATGTAGGACATTAAACAGGCGCCGAGGCACGTTAAACAGACGCGAAGTGAATGGTGACCTGAAATGCGCGACACGCACTGAAACTCAAGTCATCCAACGTGGAATCGCTGGAGTATGTCGAGTCAACTAGCGAATATTCTGCTAGGTTCTGCCGTCAGCGCAGCGTGAACATAAAGTGCTACACCCATAATATCCGTTCTGAGACTAAATAAATATGTTGTTACAAGTTTTGTTCAAAACTGTTTAAAGTTGGTTTTACAGTTTCAACAAAACTTGTAACAACATATATAAAAAGCAGATGCCGAGGTTAAGAGAGAGTCGGACTTGGGATTCACTAATAAATAATTTCAGAATTCTCTCCGTACCGTTATCAAAGCTGCCATCCTCCGG